GGGAGGAGGAGGAGGAGGAGGAAAATGCCTAGACTGGAGTATTGCAAATATATCTGAAAGTACCATAGAAAAGAGTAAGGAATTCCTCCAGAGTGCCCTTAACCATTCTGACACACACACATACAAACCTGATGCTTGCTGCAAATGAATTGCCTCCTTTTTAGCTTGCTGGTAATCTAAAACATCAGGTACTTTTCTCTGCTTTAAAAAAAACTGTTAAGACCATCTTTCTCTCTCTCTCTCTCTCTCTCTCTGTTCCCCCTTCCTCCCAATCCCTGATGTGTTTTCTCTTTTCAGGTGGCGGCCAAGGCGGGTGTCTATGAGATCCTGAACCAGCTGGGTTTTTCTGAATTTGAAACTCTGGAGAACAGACCACTCTCCCGGCTTCGCTACCGTTGGCAGGAGCAAAGTCGTAGCTCCCTGCCATTCCGAGGAGAGTTCATTTAGGACCCAACGTTATTAAGGGCCTGAAGGACTGCAGCACTTCTCCAGATGTAGCCAAATCATTTTCTTTTTCTACTATTCTGAGTGGATTTTTAAGTTCATTTATATATATATATGTATATGAAAAATATGTGCCTTAAAGAAGGACTGTGTCTCCAAGAAAAAGAGGTAAAACTACCCTGAAGACCTTTTAGGGTCTTTCAGATAGAATAAAATAAATTCAAACAAAGCAGATGCTCTATACTTTCTCCTGATTCCCAGGGTGCCACAAAAGCTTTTTTTCAAAGACTTTTTTTGAGGACTTGGTGCCCAAGGTAACTTGTATATTATGTATATGCAGATGTAGGAAGCATTTAATAGGCAGTTCCATATGACTTAAGTATTTCTCGTGCTTGAACCTCATTGTTTTGTTACAATAATTCAAATGTACATTTGTGATACTTCAACTGGTAGTCACCATTGCTGGGCAGTTGTACTATGCTAAGAATGGGAGTTTACCTATACTGTCCAATGTGGGTTTTTCACTGCATGCATAAGAGGATGCTGAAATTTCTAGAGTGTCTGGGATTGCATATATATGGTGCTTATCTGAATACAGCAAATGGTTAGATTCACCTATCCTGCCCTATCGGTGTGAACTGGGTTGGGGAACCTATAGACTGGTAGATGTTAAACTAGAGTTCATCATTCGTAATGTTGGCATTGTTAATAGGAGCTAGAGAGCAACAACATCTGCAAGGTTGTAGGTTCCTCGTCTTAGTGTAGATGCTTCCTTCCGGACAATAATTTTAGGCTTTGGGACTACTCTGCACTAGGTTTAATGTGCAAATGTATAGGTTGAGCCAATTTTGAGCAAGCAGCTATGCTAGCTGCAGAATGGTATCAGCACCTATATTCCTGGAGTCCCAGCTCCAACTCTTGGTCTTCTTTCTCAAATGCAGACTGCCAGCAATAATGACATGTCCTTCTGCACCAGGTCTGTCCAGTCAAGAATTTTGTGTACTCAGCCACCCATAAGCAGCTCACATTAGTTCACATGACTAATCTGCATATACCAAAGACTAAGTGGACTCTGCCTTAGTTTGATTCAAATTGGAATTCTTTTCTACTGCCAAGACCTTAGACTTAAGATATGAGATTTTAAATAGAAATTGTAGGGATTGAATCTGAAGTCATGCAATCTACCGCTGAGAGACGTGTCCCTAAAGTATCATTTCTAACTCTACTTACAGCTGACAGCTAGTGGCTAGTCTCCCTCCAGCGTTTTAGGTTCAGGAATCTTCGAAAACAGCAAAGGTTTCTTCTTTCAGATAATAATGCACTAAAGATTCCTCAGAGAAAAGGATAATTTGATGATACATTTTGGGCTTGTACATTTTACCTTAGCTTTTGCCATACACTTTCAATCATACTAGTCCAGTCATGTGAACAAGAAATTGACCTTCACTTTTAAAAGCAAAAGTGGAAATTTCTAGGGTGCTGGGTTACACATTTATATGCTTTCTGCGTATGTATCATCCTACATTTATGATAGCATTTTTAACACCGGTCTGTTCCTTCTCAACAGTAGGCTAAGTGCAGTATGGAGAAACAGTATTTGCTGCTTCTGAGGAGAACATCCTAAATCAAGAGCTACCGCTTCAAAAAAACGCTTGTGGATTGTGAGAAGAACTATTTTAACTTGGAAATTAAATTTAGGTCCTCTACTATACTGCAAGAAAAAGTTAATTTTAAGTGTTACAGCAACAAGAAGTTTGATTTGTTACCCTTTAACTCCAGGCACCAACTCTAGATGACACCAGTGCTGCTTCTGTGCTTCCTGATGAAGCTAGTGTATGTGCTACAGAATATCATAGTGTGAAAAACGTTTCCAGGCAAACCGTTTTGAATTTAGGATGCTCCATTCTGAGGGTGAAGCAGTTGGTTTGAGGGTGGAAAGGGCTGCTGCAAACATTTTGGAAGTGATTTTTGCTCAGGGCAGCTCTGTTGCATGGAGCCCTGCTTCAAGCTTGAGTCATTTCCATTAAACCTGAACTGGCTACTTTGCGCTTGAGACAGAATGTTTTGGACTTAAAGCCCTTTGTGCATCTTTAATATTGTATCATTTCCCCCCCTTAACTACTCTTTCAGTTTTGTTTTGCGTTTTTTGCTGCTTTGTTTCCCCAATTTTTTTTTCTGCTTCATTTTTCTCCAACACAGAAATGCAGAACCTGTGAGCCTCCATGCATTGCTGAGGTACAACTCCTAGTACAAGCTACCCGTAGTTATGCCCGGAATTGTAGTTCAGCAGCATACGGAAGGCTACTGGTTCCCTGTTTCTGACGCCACAGAACTTAACAGGCTTGCAAGCCTTTGCTGAAGATGCATTTTCAGCAGAACAAGCAAGGAAGGGTTTTCACCCCACCCTGCTTTAAAACTTGCATTTTTGACATGCACCAAAATGATACTGAATCGTGTGAGTGCTGTTTTGTCTTCACGGTCAGCCTGTGCAAACATGCTAGAAGTGTGTTGTTATAAGAAAAAGATCTTCATGAATAAGATGTTGTGAAACGAAACCAAACCCTGGAAGAGGATAGTCTAGCTTGAATTCAAATAAGGCCATGTATACATTTGAGTATAATGGGACAGGAGGGGAGGGCCTGGAGCTTTCCTTAGAACATTTATTTTGTGGGGACTGAGGTGGATGGTTAAGCATAAGGAATAAGTTAAACAAAAAGAGCAGTTTATAGACCTACCAAACAATGGTTCCTTTGTGAAATGAAAGAGAGTATGCCCATCAATCAACAGAGATCTTTAGAAATCTCATTTACTATCTTAGGGATGCCTCAGTATGTAATTAATTCAACCGTAATTGCATCAAACTCCACTCCTTTGATCATATCCGTGCATGAACTGCAAGTTCAAATGACATCCCCTGCCTTCTCTTTCTTTTCATTCAGTCGGTTGCCAAACCATAGGGTGATTTAGCAAACATTTCTTGAATTTTCAGCTGCTCCTAGAGTGTTACTTGGCTTTATCATTACAATACAACTCCTGAGCTAATCTTGGATTGGACAAAAAATATTATTACTACAGTTCTACTGAAGAGTGAATTCAGATTTGATTATAAATTTTAAAAAAAAACACACACACAAATATGGGTACTGAGAAATTACTACAGTGTGGCAGTCTCACAATACTGGTGAGAGGTTGTGCAGTCTTCCTCCAGGAAGACCAGCACTGCCTGGCATTTTCCAAGAACAGGTGAGCAACCTAGTACCTTCTGGGTCTGCTGGAGAACAACTCCCATTTGCCCTGGCCAGTGTGAGTATGGCAATGGTGGATTAAAATGTCTGAAGATCATCAGATTGTCTACCCCTGTTTTGGAGCTTACAGAATTCTTCTCTCGGACATCTCAGGAGTGCCAAACCAGGAAGACTAAAATAGAGCTTATCATGAGAAAGAAGGCCCAATTGAGTAGAAGGCGTCAGTAATTCATTCTTGTCGGTTAAGAGGGGAAACGCACCTCTGACTCAGCTGGTTACTACATGGAGGTAATCATTTAATGTTCTTAGGAGTGGTCCACTGTTGCTGCCTCTTAGAATTTGTGTTAAGTTCCCAGTCAGTCCTACAACCCTCACTGGTGGTATCTCCATCTAATTTGGATTAACCCTGTTTAGCTTCTAAACCCAGACCAAATCAGCCAAGTGCTATCTCTGTTCACTAGTATCTAAAATTAAGCCACCTTTGATCCTAATAAAATAGCTACTAATAAGTCATAGCAGGATTAACGTTGAGAGATCCCTGCATCTTTTTTAGCTGTGTATCCAGAATTTGCTTAAATTATGCTTGTCATGTTTTAATGGCAGGTGTTCAGTAATCAAATATTAGTAATGTACATATATTGGTGGAGGAGAGGACGGTTATGTGTATCTTGGTGCATCAGAAAACGTGTGCAATGTTGCTTTGTTTTGCACCAGACCAAGCCAGGACTGGGGAGATGATACAAATACTTGGGAGGTAACCTTAATGTATTTGCATGGACATGTCCCATCATCCAGTTCTGAAAGAGAGATGGAAAACCTGATGTTGCTGCATTGCAAATCTAAACAGCCAGCCAGCGTGGCCAGTGGTGGAAGTTAGAATTTAGCAATATCTGGAAGACCAGATGTTCCCAACCTTTGTGGTAATACTCAGAGAACCTTCATCAATGAACTACTTCAATTTAAATTTGGATTTTGCCAGTTACTTTTAGTATAACATCAAATATTCAGAAAATACAAGTTGGCTGGAGGAAGTCCAGACATTCCCCATATGGCTTTCTATAACCTTAATGCTGCATGTCCACAAATCTTTCGTGGACTTAGTAGGACCATTCATTGCGAATATCTGATAGGAAGCAACTTGTTCCACTGAATGTCTCACACACAGGCAAAAGCTAATACAAATTGTGAGGTCCAATTTTACCTCAGGCCAAAATAGGACATGCTTGCATTCTGAGCAAATGATTATTTTTCCCCTTCTTTAGAGCTGGGTTAAATACTCCAGAAATTAATATTTTTATTCTGATGATAAATTGTTTTTTAAAATGTGCAATGAAAAACATTGTCTTTAACCATGGTGACAACTGGGTTAGTACTGTAGCATGATGGAGGTAGAGTATCTATAGCCAACCAGGAAAAATGGTGAGGTGGGACATGGGTAATTTACTTGCAGATAGTTAAACAATAAAAGTTCCTATCATTACATATTATTTAGCACATAGTATTTGAGGTAGTTGCTATTTACTGTATATCAGATTTGATCCAAACTTAGTAATTTAATTCTGTAATCAGACTTTCATCTATGCCAAGAGTATTCTCTTTTTTTTTTGGTAAAAAATTAAGACTCCTGGGTTATGTATTACAGCATGAAGAGAATGAAGAGAAGTGAGGTCAACTGGGAAGAACAGGAAGGGACAATTTTATATACTAAAATAGCTTCAGTAATCGTTAGCAAGAGTAGACAATAATACCTGGTGTTGGTAAGCTAGTTCAAGCACAAAGGATAGTTTTAAAAGTGCAAAATTAGATTAGGATCAGCTTGGCCTGATCCAACCTGTAATGCTTTTCCTGCATGTTCAGCAAGTTTCCCTGCATATGCTATTATAATAGTGAAATTAAAAGAAAAATCTGCAAAGAAGGCCAGTTTAATTCCTCATCATACTGTAGGTGGGAGAGTTTAGGCTTGGCCAGGGATCATGACCTGTGGCCTGAAGCACACACTTTCAGTACCAAGTATACTTTGATTTGCAGTGTGGTATGTGTCCTCTCAATTCCTGCTTTTTAGTTTGCACATCTCAAAGTCTAGCTAGCCTTTCCTAACTTTGCTCTAACTACTGTGTCCAAAGCATATCCTTGGAGCTTAGCAAGAATCTTGCAGTGAATGAAACAGTTCTCATTGTCCATACTTCAAACTGGCATTTCAGAGTTCTGACGGCTCATCGGTCAGTCTTTCTGACTGACATTAGGACTTTTGCCAAGGAATAAATGCTTCCAAAATACACCATTGAGAACTAGAGTTGTGTTGAAAAGGGCAAATAGAAATCAGTTTGAAAAATAACCAGGTACAGCATGTTTCAGCAAAAACATGGCATGGTAAGTAATCCTATGACATTGCATTTCAGTATTTTGGAGAAACCGTTTATCCTTACTCACAAACCAGGAAAGGAATTTGTAACTGATGAATGGCATTGACCTCCACTTGCTGAAATGCTAGAAAAATCAGATTAGTTTCTCATCAACGTCTTCCTATACATAAAGTGAATATTGCTATCAACAATTTTCATGAACAACTTTGTTTAAAAAGTAGCTCCTGAAAACCATTTTGAGGTATAAGAAAATCATAAGTTCTTGTGACATGGAGTTATTTTTCTTGAGGGGAGGGCTTAAAAGTTGAATAAGGGTACCATTAAATCCTGCTTTAAAACTTGCTCTGTTACCTATGGCCTTCTGAGAAGTCCCTTGTGAGTTTAACAGGCTCCCCAACCTCCTGTGACATGAAATGCTTTTTCTTTGCCTTCTACCTGTTCCAAGGCATGCCAAGGAAGAAACAGATCGACCTTGTTGAAGGTCAGAGCTGATGACTTGGCAGAGGTCTTCTAAAGTTAGGCCAAAGTCACCACCCCATTTTAGACTACAGGAGTAGATTCATTTCTGGGGTATATACATGTATATAAATATTGCAAAGTCACCTTGTAATAAATATTTGATTATTTTACTTTGACATGGAGGCTGTCCTGCTGCTAAGAAGGTTCTGCTCTTCCATCTCCAATTCCCACTTGACATCAAGCATCTCGTGCGGCAAGATACCTGAGCATGTAGCCATGTGATAATACAATTGCTACTGTTCATGTTCGTGACTTTCAAAGCAGTATTTTGCCTTCATTTTTCAGGTGGTCATTCAATTAAATTATGTTTTGATGGAGGGATTTGGGGGAGCCTCACAGATCTCTTGACCTAATAATCAGGATTCCATAAAAAGAAATTTGAAGTTTCTTTGCGCAAAGAAAATTGTGATCTGTGCTTACGAGCGCTGATTTCATCTGAACGTGGCTTATGCACCTAAAGATAAAAACTCTTTTATCTCTGTATTCATTGATCAACTGTTATATATGTCTGGAATATTTTCTCAGACTGATTTACTGATTGATACCTGGGTTCATAGATCATGTCAGAATTAACTGTTGTGCCCAAAATACTAATAGCTATTTGGAATGCATTCAAGAGTTCATGCAAGTACAGTGGAATTCCTTCTTTTAGTGTGAACAATTCCTCCAAACTTGCCCTGCCTTTCCCCAGTATATCAAAATGGTTTCCGCAACAGCTCTCGGTTTTTGAAGTGGCTTCCGAAGGCTAGTGAAGTGGCTCTCGCTAAGGCAGTGTTTGCACAAGAGGAGCCTGAACAGCCCTTGAGGTTGTAGAGTTTGTTGTGTAGAGTCTGTTATGAGAGCTGCCTAAAGCAATACTACCTCAACCATAATCAAATGTATTTAGAAGGAATGGCAGAAAGACCTCTCCAAAATTAAGTGTTATTTTAATATGTCTGCCCTACAGGAGATGGGGTCTAAATAAAGCATGGCGAAGGGGTGGAAAAAAGTTATCTCAAGCTGGTTTATGAGTTTTGCTGTGTGTTGTTCCATTGTTTAAGTTGTCTGGAGCCTGTCTAGACTGAAGCCTTTGAATCCATTTGCTTTTCATCCACAAAGCTGTTGGATGGTTCAGTTTCCAAGGAAAATGGTTATAGTTGAGCTCTTGTTTGAATTATAACAATGGCTAAATCCACCATGTAAGAAGGGGACTACAGAGGTGACATGTATTTTGCCAGACAATTTACTAGTGCTCCTTCACCTTAATAAACAACCCTTTTGTTTCTAGAGTTACAGTGACTTTCAGTTGTTAACTATTGTGATATTTTTTCCTTTCTCGGTCAAGAAATACTTCCAATGCCTGATAACATGTTCTAATATTCTAACCTAGTCATGCTTGAAGACACTGGAAAGCGGGAAAAAATAAGTATGGTTTGAAGAAAACGAAATGTGAAAAGTACAAAGTGTGTTGGTTGTGTAGAAACCTATCTGTAAAGTCAGAACCTTACAAAACAGCATTGATGAATACCCCAAATATTCTGAAATTGATAAGTTAATTGACCTCTGTAATGGAATAAAAGTCTAGGACCTAAATTCAGGTGCCAGAAAAAAGAACTGAAAAGATAAGCTGCCATTCTTTTGTCACTCACTGAAGTTCTGCTTTGAAGTTTGTGTTCAAAAATGGCCATGTTTGCTTAGAAAATCCTGAAAAGTTGAAGTCTGAATGTTGCCTCCCAGGTTGAACAATCTTCAGACACAACTTGAGAGCATCTGACTAAGCAGAAAAGATCCATTAGTAGACTGTATTTATAATCAGTCTGATTTAGTCTTTCAGGTCAAGGGGAGTGGGGGTAAAAAAAAAAGGTGAGATGTGTAAAAAAGAGACACAGCTTTGATTGGTTGTAGCTACCATCTTGACTTTTTTGACCCCCTGGTGGATGTCCCTGCTTCAGGTGGCAATATGTGAAAATCAATTCTAGTTGGGTATTTAGCCTTTGTCTAGGAGCACGGGTTCCAAAAACAGCCCGGGGGTCTGTGATTCTGATGTCAATCCAGAGCCTTCCCCCTGATGTTATTCAGAAGCTGATCTTTGCAGGGTGGTTTCAGGATTGAAATTCTTTCCAAATCTACTGAATGTCAGAGTATAAAACCCTCCAGGTGTTATGGATTTCTAACTCTTATCAGCCCTAATCAGCTGGGCCAATGGTGAAAGATGATGGGAGCTGTAGTCCAACAGCTCTTGAAACACCACTTCTTGCTCCAACGAGCTTTAATATTTAATTTCCCCATACTGAACTTTACTAAATGATCTTGCCAGCATGGCCCAGCTTGACCCCAGACCAGTTATATGGGAATTATTAAATATAGAATATATCGCTACTATGAAAACAGACAGGACAGGGTTGATTTACCAAATAGCTTTGTTTCCTATGTATCATGTGCTTTTCCAGATGTTGACAATATGCTTAAGCAATCAAAATAGCTTATGCCAATAACCTGATGTGGAATATTCAGCATTCTGCTTTCTAATGGCAGTGCTAATAGGGAAGTTTGAGACACTGAAACAAATCAGCAACCTTGGGTTGGGCTTCTGAAAAATGGAAAAGAAAATAATGACAATGACAACTGCCTTACATCACCATGGGTTGGCCTTGAACTTACCAGCCTTTTCACACATATCATGCAGTGATAAATGCATGTTTTCCATCCTGTGTGGGAAACTTCCTCTCCCCTTTATGTTCATGCTATTCCCTGAAGTCATTACCTTAATTCTGCTTTAATGAGAGCTGGTCTCTGAATGCTGGTGAGCTGACTTTTTTCATGGTCCCCCACCCCACCCCAGAATGCCCTGCTTAATAAAATATACTTGGGATTGGCTTCCTGACTCTCTGGCACCAGATAAAATAGTTACTATTCTCCAGGCCCTTTAAGATTATTTTTTTTTAAGTGTGTGCTGCTGGTGCTGCATATTATTTTATTTATTTATTTTTTAAGGCTTTTTTAAATCCTGCC